GCCATAAGAATAGTAAATCTTGCAGATTCTTATCTGTCTTATGTAGTTCTTAGAAACCTAGATATTTGGAACCTACGAGTATGTATATTAATTTTACGTGTTTTCAGCTGTTATCTGTTTGCTAAATACACCATCAAATAATAGTTGCATTAAACGAAGAAAGCTCAATCAAAATCAAAATCAAAAATATTTTATTCAATTTAGACCACTGGTGGCATTTATGAACGTCAAAATATAGTTAAAAAAAGAAGGTAGCCCTTATGGGGCACTCTACATGTCTCCTTATCTTTTGGGCCCTACCAGCAGGTAACCAATAAATGGAAATGTTTAGAAAATCTATAAGAAACATGAAACAAAACAGGTGCAGGGGCTTCTACGTATTATTTATTATTTTATTACCATAAATCAAAGACCGAAGCTCCTCAATCCTCTTGCTCCTTGTGCCAGGGTCCTCATTGCAGTTCCTCCTGGCCAGTTCCTCAAAATCCTGGTCTTCGAACCGGCTCACTTCTGCCTGGAATGCTATCTCTATGAACGACATCCTGAAGTAAATAGAGTCTAATAAACAAAACAAAACATTTTTACATCTTAAATTAAGTATTATAAAACTTAAAAAAAAAATATTGCCTTAGATGGGAATTGAATCCCAGACTACTCTAAGCACTGAGCTACGGAGACATTAGGTACGTACGAGTAAACAAACAGATCGACTTTTTCAAGTGTTAAAATAACCTCTTATGTTATTATAACCTGACTTTAAGTATTAAAAACAAGAGTTACACGTTCGATTTTCCGGTTTGAATTGTATTAGGTACCTACTTATTTGGGTCAATTTTCTCGCTCGATATCTACTTAATGCTTTATATCTAATCTGTGTCCATTGGTCTCCATTAACAAATTAAAGTTATTACTTTGTACTCAAGCAAATCAAAAACCATACAGTAGATTATGAGCTAGAAGTAGGGATTTTATGGATATATGTAGTTTCGGTTATGGATACGGTTACGGATATGGGAGTAATATTATACCGGTTTCGGATATTTTTTCATTTCGGATATCCGAAAGTTTCGGTTACGGTTACGGGTATCCATAACATCCCTGGCTAGAAGTAATAAAGTGGCAGTAGTAACAACTAGTTCACCGTAAAATTGGTTTCTTACGGTTGCCCTGCTTTAAACCACCGTTCTTTTACCATTGTTAATGTTAAAAGATATAATCTTTTGTAATCCAAGGGATAGTAAAAGATTGTTTGATCATAGCTCTAGATGAGAATGCTTGTGCATGTCCATAGTTAATAGAAACTGGCCATCTTAAAATTAAATAAGTTCGTATAACTTCGTTTTCAATGTAGACAATGTAGACTCTACATCTATAGTGATTTGCGTAAACCTGTCTTAGTAGATTACTAATATTTACTAATACACTTTATGGTTCAAAATCGCTAAATTACTGGCGTCTATTTTATTGACGTAGATTAAATCCACGTTTTTGTAACAAACTAGATACCAACTTACGCGCACTGTCACTAAAGACATTGTTTTCCTGACAACCATGAGAAATACGTGAGAATTTAGTTCAATCTGCTTTATAATCAATTCCTTTGTGGTTGAGGATTCCGGGTGAAGCTTGTTTCCACCTACGGAATGATTATCACTTTCCATGAAGTGAAATACAGGCCAAAAGCTTCTTTGTACAACAAAATGAAATTCGATCTGGATATTAATGGAAAGATACTTTTTATTCTCTCTAGGTTTGCAAATTTTGATGTATCTATTACAAATGCTATCTATTATAAACTAGGACTATTCCCACCTCTCGTTCCCACCCCTGCAACTTCTGTGTAGCGATCTACAGCTTGACCGCCACAAAAACCCAACCAATGAAGGTCAAGTTTGTCCCGGGGGAATGTTAAACTGTCATTGGACCCGCAACGAAATTAATCAGAAGAACATAGGAGGAGTTCGAAATTAAGGTTATGCATTTATATGCTAGTGTACAGTGTGTAGGTTGATGTGCTGACGTCTGTCAGTAACTCGCAGCGTCCAAAGTTTAACGTTGACAGTTTGGAGTTAACGGTCCGGATCTCAAGATTGTTGTCATGAATAGTAATTAATGACATAGCATTGTTTTGCTACTGGTTTATGAGAATTATGAGGCACAGACTACAAGTCGTATACCTACGTATAATGTTTTGTCTTTTACTCATAGTGACGTCAATTGCGGGTTAGTTTAATATTAGGTAGTAAGTTAGCATTATTTTGAACCTATTCTATAAGTTTTCTCAATAAAACACTGTTTATAGGGAGGTTGCTCTTTGATTATACCTACCTACCCAACACGCATTCAATAAATTTTCTTTAACAGAATTTATTCTTAAGGGTGNATGGATGTCCTAAGGCTGCGTTTTACGGTACGTGGCCTCCGCTCCTACCTACTATGTGCTTCCAACCGCGCGATGTGGAAGTCATTGGGGGAGGCCTATGTTCAGCAGTGGACGTCCTGCGGCTATATCTGAATTTTGTCAATGTGAATCAAATCCTGCCGTATCTTAATCCAATCTTTTTCTAATGAGTTACTTATCTTTCCATCCTTACTAGTTTTTTATTTCCATTAGAATCCTAGCCATGACTGTACTTAACGCTAAGCTCCAGCCAAGGGGATCAAAAAGTTTGATCAGATGTGTGTATAAGATAAAATGTTACGTTTTATGGTTGGTTTTATTGTGGTATATTCACATTGCATTGAAATCTGTGCTCAAATTCCATTAAATACCCAATGCTTGGACTGTTCCATCAAGGTTCATAAAACTACTTTGGCACTAGCTTATATTTTGTTGTCTTCTACTTCTGACTTCATAAACTCAACGCAAAACTAGGTAGCAAAAGGTATTTGACCGCAATTGCATGTGATGTTAAGTGAGATGCAGTATAAGATGATAAATACCTACCTGTAAGTGCCTATAAGGTCCGGTATAGTGCTCAGGAGAGACAGCAGCAGGCAGCGACCTGTTCGCATTATAAAAGAGTTTATCGAAACGCTTAGTGCAAGCTGGTGGAATGTCGACAATGTAGGAATGATACGTTAACCAGCGTCTGATGATGGAAGGGGGCTGGTGCAATTAGGTCGTGTAATTCCTTCGCACATTCTCTGAAGTGTAACCTGGTAGATGGTCACATCAGATGTATTATTATCTTCTCTGTAACTTCTCATTAAATTATACCATTATAGCTTCAATTGACCAGTCCACTCTTGATAAAAGGTCGTTGATATAAATTGTTTTATTATTTTATAGAAATCGTTACTCCGGTAATCCGAATCATTTTTTGTCACATAAATCTGAAGATCATCTTCATAATGTCATTTATGAAGCCAACACGTTTCATCTCATTATAATATTTCTCGGGTTTTCTTGCAGCTGGGAACCTACAAGCAGTTCGTTATTCAGTGAAATATAAATCGAACCTTAACACAAAGCATCAAATATAATCGTGCGCGAGTTGTCTCCGTATTATTCCAGACGACCGCATGATGAGGTAAGTATACTGTCAGTCTTGTTTCTTTTTCTTTTTCAGGTAGGTATCTTTTTTAATAAAAAAAAATCTGTGTGTTCGTTAATCTTTTTTTAGGTCTAGTGATTTCTGTAACTTCCTTTCTAATTGAACGGACCTGAGTGGTTATGTTTTTGGGTTTTTAAGGGAAAGGAGGCAAACGAGCAGACGAATCACCTGATGGTAAGTGTTTACCCGCCGCCCATAGACACCCGCTCCTCGGTGAGTTACAGGTGCGTTGATTGTCTTTAAAGTATTAGAGTCTGCTCTTAAAGGTTTTAGGTCGTATTGGTCCGCAAATACTGCAAACGGCAGTTCATTCCTCGGTTTGGTGTCTGCAAATGGTGATTGTGGATTTTCTGTTTTAAATGGTAACTTTACAAAATATCTATCTACCGCTTCGGTAAAAAAAAGTCCTGAAGCAGTGGTTGGGTTAATACTGGGGAGTGTAAAACTATAAAAGTGCTTTATAAAAGCCTACTTGCAAAAATAAATGAGTTTTATGCCCGTTTTCACCATTAATCCCAAATTTTTAAGTGTCCCCTATAAAAACAAAATTCCTGTTAAGTATCACCATAGAAGTCACTTACAAATTAGGGATTGATGATGAAAACGGGCATTAGTCCTTTTGATAGCTCGTCTCTCCCTAAAAATGCAATTTTCGAAAATTATAATATAGTTATGCAAAAATATTGTAACTTTTTGATTTTGAATAAAGCTTTAATTTTAAATACAACCATAAGTTATGTAATTTTTCACAAGGTAAAAGTACGTTATCCTTTTTACGAATTTATTTCGATACGAATAGTTCGAGGAAAAACTACGTAAACTACACTTACACGTTGAATGCACGACTAAATCTGAACGCCAATAAGTGGTTATCTGCAATAATACCAAACAGCATGTATTCCTTTACATGTCAACAATGCAATATTCATAATTACAACAATGAGGTGTTAAATATGTTTCGCGGAATAAGTACGCAACGCTCTTTTTTAAGTTTTTCTCAAAACCTATTAAGTGTATTTTAAATATAAATACATAGGCCCCTCACAGACATTTTTAGCTATCTTTTGATGTATAGCACATATTTTTAATAATGGTAATAAATTTTTAGGACAGTTTTTTTACGCTCCTGAAAAGTTGGCATTTTTCACTTGCGTACTTATTCCAGGAAGGGTGCGACAAGACCTCAACGTGTTTGCAGTATTATACTTACTTACCTACAACATCTAAATATCCACGCTGGCCCTCTGTCAGTCTTCCGCACCTCGCGAATGTGAAGGAACCAGACCCTGTGGTCGCTGTGCGTCGTCACGCCCTCGCGGCGGCTCCGTGATATGCCGTGACATGCCGTGACATGCCGTGACATGCCGTGACATGCCGTGACATGCCGTGACATGCCGTGACATAAGACACAAAACGCCAAAATTTTAACAAAGTTATACACACCCACAACATCTAGGTATCCGAGCTGGCTCTTCATCGGGTCGGTGTTGATTTGGCACATGTACCACCCTCTGTCGGTCTCCCGCAGCTCTCTAATGTGTAGGAACCAGACCCTGTGGTCGCTGTGCGTCACGCCCACGCGGCGGCTCCGCGATATGACGTGCGTGTGGATCGTGAGGATCGTCTGCGTGTCTACCCTCAGCCATGCGACCTGCGAAAGAGACCTTTTTTAATAAAAGTATTTTCATTACTTTTAAATTAGATATTTACAAAACTTCATTTGCACTAGAAAGAACACATAATAGTCTAAAAGTACAAATAAAGTACACAAATATGGCAGCAACGATAAAAGAATTTCGTCCACTGAAAACACTGATAATGGTTTTACATTTAAGTACGAGAGGAGGCTTAAAAAGTCTCCTCTAAAGAGCACCAAAGAGCTTTTTTCGTGCGATACTGCCAATTATGTTCTTAAGATCGTTGGTCCATCAAGCTGGAGGGTGTAGTTACAACACTAGACACTACGTTTGCCATGAGTCGTCGTAATGCATGGATGGAAAATCTAAATCACGATTGATCACGATGACTTTTTTGTGCCGTTTTGTGTTGAAAAACTTTTACAATGATATAATAGATAAGATGTTTAGCTACGTAGTAAAGTATCTTTTTTGGTAACTAATATAGGTACGTAAAAATGTAAATGGCTCTATTAGGAAAATAAATAACGGTATTTACATTTGTAATGTACTTAGTTTGTGTTACGTAGGCAGATTGCTAATTAGAAATTAGATACTTAATCTGTAAATAGCAAAATCTACTATAACATAATTTATTAAAAAGGTATACCTACCTACGTAATGTATACAGAACCGACTAATTGAAGTGACCGTAGGTAATCATGTCCTGTAATTGTATTTATTACACATTACTTTGTAATTGAGAACATCAAAGATATTTGCTCTAAATATTCAAATGCTAGCAATAAATCACAGTGCACATTAAGACAAACTATGCGCGTTTTAGTGAAATAGGTATTTCAGACAGCATGACGTTCTGCGCCATATTATGCATGAGATAGTGTTTGAATGTGTTTAACAAGACGTTATTATAACGTATTGCATGAAAATGTTACAATTTATTTCTTACAGTAGTATTCTACATAAAATTTTACATTTTTGCGAATTTGACCACAAGTTTCGTTAAAATGTTTACCTGCAATTGTTTTATAGAAAACTACAAATAATAGTTAAGCTCTATCAATCAATTTTGACCCAAAACCTTAAACCAATTAGAGCTTTTTATAATGTCTACGAATATTTGAGCCATGTGTCATAGGATGACTGGGGGCTTAAAGTTTCTCTAACTACTTTGTATTCGCTGAAGCTGCTTAAGCTCATACACTTACAACATGTTGTTTAAACCTAGTTGCAAGTGATCTTGAGTTCGAACTACGTTAGCCGAACTCAAGTCGCTAAGTAGTTTTATTGCCCGAGATTGTTAGTCTTTTCAAACTGCAACTTAAAGTATGAGTACAAAATCTACTCTGCCGAAATCTGTCGTCTGTCTATATATTTTCATCGTTCACTGTCACTGAATATATTCCTCACACAACAACACACTTAACTTATGCTATTCGCTTACCGGACGCATTAGCGTACGTGTAACGTGACAAAGCAAGAATACCTGCATTGTTAAATTTTGTTAAATTACTACACTATACTCGTGGTGAATGGCCACCTTTAGAGAAAATCGTCAACAGCTGGTCTCAGTAGAATATAATTCGAGTACATGTCAAGAAACTGTTTAACGAACTCTAGCTGTTAGCGTGCCGGATAGGATATGTGCCAGCTTCGAAAATATTTAAACACTATTCGACTTTATTCCCTCAGCACAAGGAGTATGTTTGGATGTTTACGTTTTAGAAGCTGAATCAACGGTGTGAGTGCCGACGAGTGTAATATGTGGGATTGTGGGTAGCCGCGCGGGAGACGTACGGAACGAGCTTAACGTGTACAATCACCAACACCGCATACTTACCACCTAAATGCAAGACTGCAGGAAAATTTCAAATTCGGTCACTGCACCAGCGAAATAACTGATGTGATGTTTAAAGCATCTGTCAGCAGCATTTAAGTATTTAGTTTTGCTTAGAGATAACATATAAAGTTTTAAAATAATATCGTTACTGACCCAGACTGGAATATTAGGTTTAGGCTAAATATATCACAAAATATAATTTGCGTAATAAACAAAATCATTACAGTAGTTTCACAGACGAGAGTCAACGCTCGCTCCCCCAAGGCCTAGCTGACCCATCAAACAATTAAGGGTACTTAGTTCTCTATTATTTAATTAACTATTTTATACTTTGAAAATTAGAAAACTATTTCATGATTAATGTAACCCATATTTTAAATAACATTTGGAAAACATTCATGTTAGGTATTAAAATGTATTCATTTATACTTACTACTTTTATTCAGGCCCAAAACATTTTACATTTTATTCATTGAATAAGTCGTAGATAAAGATTTACCCAACAAAACCCTTGTTTTACCCAACGGGACGTCTTCGAAAGAGCACATTAAGTTAGTGCGTGTCTAACTCGATCACCATATCGCTACTCAACTGAAGCGGTCCGTCCCGCTCTCAGACGTCCCGGTCCCGGGCGTCCCGCTCTCGGGCGTCCCGGCGCGCCAAGAGAGTTAGTTCAATCACCCGCTCCGGCAAATTCTCGGGAGATTTGCTCTCTGTACCAGCAATTATTGGTTCTGTGATCCTCTGCTTAAAGAAACAGAGCGATGTCAGAATTGAATACTCATTCAATCTCGCTACTACAATGTAATTTTATTAACAATAAATATATTTTCTAGAGATTTTTATCTTGATTTAAGATCTAATTTTGTGTACTCTTGCATTGCACATAGGTTTTCGTTATCATTAGTGAAGGGCAATCTCTTGCTGGAGTGCTAGAAACAGAGAAAGATTTCCCTCTTTTTTCATCCACCTGGTCGTCAGTCTGTCAAGCAGTTGTAAGTCCAATGCCATTTTTCCCGAGACGTAGTCGCCAATTCGCCATTCGAGAACACGTTTACTCCGCTTTTTCTCGGTTAAGTTTCTCTTATGGAAAATTGTGGAGACCGCCTACCTACTGGCAAGCACAGCGTGGGACGACCACCTGCCTGATGGAAAGGAGACCCTGTAAAGGTTCGAGATCAATAGGGAAGGCTAATGTTCACAAGTCACGTGTTTGTTACTGCTGAATTTTATTGTGCAAATACAACGGAATTAGCCGGCTTCAGGTTGTAAGATTGTTATAATTTTAGTATTGATCGCTGATCAAACTTCAACCTTAACGCCTATCGTAGAAGTTTCAAAGTTCGAAGAGTTTCCACGCCTGCATTTGTAGGCAGCAGTAGTTTAATAGAAAGTTCCGAAGCCTCAAAAGAACTCGAATACAGTGTGGACTTTAAAGGCTTTACAAAAACTGACTCATATTATTTACACCCTCTAAATCAACACAGTTTTACAATAGAGTTAGGTATTTCAAAGACTGAGTTGCACCACCTTATTTTAACCGTAACAATGACAATAACTGATGCTTTTTGTATGGAGTTTGACAGATTTTTGACGTTTGTTAAAGTTAAAGTAAGATGGTGCAACCCAGCCTTATCCAGTTTTAAAACAGAGTAGCGTTTCAATTGTTTTCAACACATGTCCAACAAAAACAGCAACTAAAACAGGTTTTACCTTGTAAGTGGAAAGGTTGTGTACAGTGCAGGCCAGGATAGCTTCCCGGCCGAGCGGCGCAGTCACATTGGCGATCGGCCCGCTGAAGCCCGGCTCGTCTGCAACAATGGAATATCAAAATAAACAACGGCTCAGTTGACTTTATGACAGATTTAGTTTGTTTTTTTATGCATAACAAGGCAGGTATTTGACCACAATCGCACCTGATGTTAAGTGGGATGCAGTGTAGGATGGTAGTTCTTAGAATTGTTTCATTATGTGTTTCAATTCTCCACCAAGTAGGTAATGAGATTAAGGCTCATTTTAATCACTCGAATACCTCAAAATTTTTTTTGTTATCTACGAGTAGGTTGTGAAAAATCATTGATCAGTCAGAATACTAATGGCAGATTTTAACAGCTTCCTCGAACAGTAAAAAGTTAACACGTATAAAATTCAGTTCGCACAAAAGTAGAGGCAGTTCGTTGAAAATATTTTGCCATTACGCTGATTCTATTTTTCAACAAAAATGTAATCAAAACATCGCTTCCATGAAGTCTTATACAAGCGTTTATGACAAAGACGGCATTGTTGTGCAGACAATCGTAAAGTGTCAGAGACTAACTTAGATGAGCACTTACATTCGATTTAAGATTAGGCATTAAAGAAATCCTAAGAAATCAAAAATATTGGTGGAAAAACGTGAAAGCATTCTTCAAACTGTAACACATTTTTTCAGATTTCAGCAATTCACGCTTAGTGTAATCGTTTTCGTTTTATCATTACAACATTTATGGGGTTATTCTTACGTCGGGCCGCAATTTAAATACAGCGAAACGGCCGATTGAGTGCACGCGAGCGAGGCTAGGTGTTCCCGCGATGACGCCATCCTCTGGCCCAGCTGAACCTAGTCTGATTTATACATAAACTTACATTCTCACGCTAATCAGTGCACAGATCTTTACCTACTCAAAATGCAGGACTAAAGTGAATGGTCTAATTCAAAACTATATGAAGCAGTAAAAACAACTGTCGTGCAAAAATGCAACGACCCAATTGATTTAAAAAAAACCGGAGAAGTAAGTATAACATCTTGGTTATTTTTTATTTTTTTTTTTTCAAAAGAAGTGTGGAGAAGTCCAAGGCATCATCTCTAACTGGGGTGCTCGAATAACTCCAATCAATGTTCCTCAACTGATAACAAGTGCTCCGAAAAATTTGTCTTTGCCTTGCTAGTAATTGGTACTTTTTTTTTTTATAAAACTACTACTAGTTTTACTGTTATTCATATCATTTCGAAGCCACGCTATTGTACTTTCTCGCATAACTACATGGTCTGCAGCAATTGCCATAGAATTTTATCGCTAGATAGAAGCGCTATGACGCCATCCGTTATCCACGCTGATGGACTTAGCTAGACGGTTTTATATCTAGGTATATTCTACGATACAATGAACACCTTGAAAATTATTCTTTGATGTAGTTTTTTTGTTGCCTCTATTTTCAATACATGGAAATTATTAGGTAGTAATTTAATCCATTGACAAAAATAGTTTCATTAATTGAATTGATGATACCTATGTATTTATACATATTTATTTTTAATAAAGTACTCGTCAATAGGTATACCTAGTATGCCGCTACGTTTATACGAGACGGTCGCAGAGGTACTACTCGTAAACACAGCTTTTGTATTTCGCTACATTTTCGAACCAGCTAAAAAGAAAGTAACGTAAACCACTTGCGACAGGAATATGATCTCTACATGTATCATAGCTCTAGAAAAGGGCTTCTCTACCTTATTCCCTAGACGCCGGGTTCAAGTGCCTAAAGCCGTCTCAGACTAGAATCCTTCTGTAGAAATCTTTGTATCCTTACTATGAACTATGCTCCTAGTAAAGTCCTGTGTTGACAATTTTAATGCGTTACTTCATACAATACGACCTCCACTGTACTTTTCCATAAGCATCTAGCTTTAACCTATTGGAGCCCCTCGTATTAAGCTAAATATGCTTGTGTCACGAGTGAGCTCACCACAATAGTGGAGCGGCAGCGGGGACCGAACCCGCGTTCCCCGGATCACTTCATTTAGCCACGATAGCCGAACGGTGGCTAGTTTTGATGGCTTACATAGTACTTATACCTATCGTTAAGGAATATAGTAACTGTCGCTAGAGTCGCCATGCCTTAAAAATAATATTGTCAAGACAGTATACCGTAACACGTATATTTTATGACCGTATCCTTCATGTCAATCTTGTTGGTGTTCATATCCACACAGTCTGAAGTCAAAGCAGTCAACACCTTTATAAGAATGTTAATTTCAATGTGTGAACTAATTGCGGAGGTCAATAATCTTATGAATGCGAACAACTTAGAGGTCAGCATAAAAAATATTTGATAACAATCATCATATTCATATTTCTGCTGTAACTAGGTAAGTAGGTTCTAACAATAATCTGGTGAGACGTTTAGTATTGTTTTTTATGCAGAACAAGGCACTAAGGCAGGTATTCGACCGCAATCGCAACTCATGTTAAGTGAAATGCAGTCTAGGATGGTACATAGGTATCTAATTGTACCTATGACTTAGTAATTTTAACTCATTGGCCCTGAGATACAAAAAAAAAGTCCCAATGTTTAATATAATTTTGTATGTTGCAGCCTTTAATCAATAAACTAAGTGCTAAATGGTAATATCTGATGCCCGGGTCCATTTAATAATTTCTGATGCCAGGGTAAACAAACCACACGATAGAAGATTTTCACCGAGCGAAAACCACATTTCGATGCGACATCATATTATTCGATGTTTCCAAAGGTTTTCGAGTAAGCGAATTCATTCGTTCGTACATTGAATATTTCCTGAGGAGCATAATAACGGCTATGCAACCAATTTCGCGGTGTCCGGGCGGCACGCGACGCGACACTGGGGGATTAGGGCTGCTAACTCCCATATTTACATTCAACGCTACCTGGCTTCGATGGCATATTTTGACATTTAATGGAGCTGAATACCGAACTCTACACCATTACCCATTATCTCTTTGAATTTTTTAATACATCATAAGGCCAGCAGAGATATCATTCAAATACAAAATCATGCCACTCACTTCTCGATAACTAACTACTCATAACAGTAACTTTAATTTTTATATTGATGAACTCTAGCTCTACGCAAGTTCAAAGAAAAATCCCAATTTTTAATGCTAATTCATGATTGACAATAATATTTATTTATTTATATCTGATATTTTGTTTTAAAAGGTAAAGGTAGTTTTCACTAAAGATGCGTGATCCTTTAATTGACTCCAAAACTCGTCATAACCCTAACCATAAAAAATATTACATAATAATGAATAAATATATTCACACATAAATATTTCTTAGTATGAAAAAGCGATTTAAAACCATTCTAAATATTTTTGTAAAGTTTTTACTTTTTGATCACCAATTTTGTTTTTGTATTTTTTGTTTGTTTACAGAAGTGGACAGCCCTGTATGTAGAATGGATTGGACGAACGGGTTTATTTGTGAATTTAGTGAGATCGAACAAATATCACGACAGTCAGTAAAACACGCGGATCTTTCAAGTCACAATTTTCTCTGAGGTTTAGTCATATTGAAATATTTTATCGTAGTACGTGCCTCGCTCTACAGGTACCCAGTGGGAAAGAAGTCATCTTAACCTACACTGAACGCTATAGCTGCTACCATCAGGCAGGCGATGGCTTTCGTACTGGATTACAAAGTACAAAGGTGGAGTTTGAATCTGGGGGACGATTTTAATGTGACCTGAGGAATCGTTAACGATTAGTTTATTATTATTTTGGAAAATATTTTTCTGTCCACATTCTACATGGACACAGATGACCTGGTTGACGTTGCAGGAGGCTGCTCTCAACCGGCTAAGCTGGAAATCATTGAGCGATGATAATATTTCTGGTGTCATGATAGTAGTAATTATTTTTTATCAAATTACTTCCATTTATGAGGAAGCCGCTTTGTCGTTGTCAAGTCATATTGTTTATTGTATTACGATCCATTTTACGTAATCCTTCAATTGCTCACTTCATCACAGAAAATTAGTTATATTTGAGTTATGGTTGATGAAACGTTCCGTGTAATTTTCAGTTTTATTAATATTCATCTTCTGGGAAGCCTCGTCGACAAAAACCTGAAATGAGAATTTAATCAAGTCTCGAGTCAATAGGTACAATGTTTTGATAACGGTTAGGGTTTTGTTCCACCTATTTGATTTTAATTAACATACCTGTATAAATATTTGAAATAAGCGATGTTTGCCCTTTAACATCAACTAATTAAAATTTTCTCTTACGTAATACTTATTAATACTTACTCAGCAATATAGGAATAATGTCAGTCGAAGACAGAAATAGCAGTGCTTTATTGTGTTTTGAAATATCTGAACATTTAGGAGTAGGGGGAATGATGCTGGAAGTGAAACAGAACATCATAAATTATTATCTACCTGAATATTGTTTAAATTAAGATATGTTTTTTATTAACGGCACTTTTAAAAAAACAAGCTGGTAAGTAATAAACAGTTTTCTCTAAAGCAAAGTTAATAGAAATTTCTCTTTTTAAAATGTAGAGTTTCATATTTCCCTTATTACTGACCGTTCTCAAATGTCCCAAATATTATATTATTCAATTAAAATTGTTTATGAAGGAAAGTTTACAGCATCAGTTTAGTAGCTCAAAAATGACAATTTACCTAATAAATGTTATACAACTAAGTATTTCTTAAAATTAAATCCATATACGACAATGACGCCAGGCAGAATTTAGAGCTTCAATTGATCAAAATTACTTACAAAAAGTAAATTTGTTTACCGTTTTTCTTCTTTTTGTATGCGTAACATCAAGCCTATACCGCGGCATTAAACGTACCGGTACTGAATGCGATTTTGCAATAATACTCTAACGTGGCTAATGGCTAAAATGATGATGATGATGATAAGTCTAAAGTGCTGTCGACTGCACTTGAATTTCAAAAATCAACCCACCGTTTGCTTCCGTTGCTTATATAGGGTGCCAAATGGCAATGCCAGATTTTGTATGGAAAGTGGCGTCTTTTTTTTTTCGCGCGGCCATCGACCAAACTTTGTTTTTTGATTACAAAATAGTGTAATAAACCAAACTTACTATGGCATGTATACCTCTAAACGCAGTCTGAACTGAGTTACGAGCATTAGAAGTTTGATGATTTTCATACTAGATTTGCTTTTTGTGCGCAAGTTTTGTAAGAAATTGCAACAAAATATTGCACTATTTTTTTGTTGCGCTGATTCTGCTCCATACTGATGTCTGGAGCCTTTAATGGATGGTACTGTTTGTTTATACATACAATCTCACTATTTTGTTGCAATTTCTTACAAAACTTTGCGCGCAAAAAGCAAATCTAGTATGAAAATCATCAAACTTCTAATGCTCGTAACTCAGTTCAGACTGAGTTTAGAGGTATACATGCCATAGTAAGTTTGGTTTATTATACTATTTTGTAATCAAAAAACAAAGTTTGGTCGATGGCCGCGCGAAAAAAAAAAGACGCCAATTTCCGGCATTGTCTTTTATGTAATGGAGCTGCTCGGTACTTAGCTGCAAATCATTTTCACCAAAAATTAGGATTTTCGTAGAGCTTTACACAACTTGCAAAACATAAATAAGTTACATAAACTGTTATGGCATTCGATTAGTCATTAATAGCATTAATAAGGTATATCGATAACATACTTAACCTGAGAATGTTACCCTTCGCCTCGGCAAGGCGTTAATTCCAAAATACCCTTTAACATACCGTGTTTTTATTAAATTAGTTTGGTGGCACGCGACTCACGAAACTAAGCATACGGACGAAATTCAGGTCAAACTGACACGGCTTGAAAATAATACAATTTAGCAGCGGCAACGCCGAACATCAAACGGGACTTAAGCACTATTATGGGTATTATGACAATCAATTACGATGTAGAGCCGTAACCATGATATAATTTGATATACCTACTGAGAATAACCGCGGAGCTGCTGTGTTTGTATTATTGAGTGTTAAAATGCAAAACGCGAACTTTATATTAGATATCTTTTTGATTTTATATTTTTTCATCATCACCATTGGACACCACCTTCGGTTGACGGTCCAAACAACTTATCTTACACTCTGTTTGCCACGTTTAACTCAAGCATTTTTTTTAAATGACCTAGAATGATCCATGACCTAAAGAATCAAAAAGTTACCTAAGAAACTAATCAAAGAAATGGAAAAGGTAGACTGCACTGAATCTTTGATTACTCTGAGTCGAGCGTGATTGCTGCGAGCCTGCGACCCCAGTATTTAAACAAAACCTCATTTTAAGTCATCACCACAATCGATGAGTTTATAAATAATTAAAATTAATTAAGAATATTTAAGATTGAAAATTAAGAAAAATGTTCAACGTGATTCCCACATGACGTTACTGGAATCCAGTGAATTTTTATTTAGAAGAATTAGTATGACAGAAGCAAAATGCAACCCGAGCACTACGCATCGTGTGGACGTAACCTTATCAACAACTAAATGCATGATAAACTTAAGCTCAAGACAAAAATAATAAAAAAGTAAAAAATGTGGCACGTAATAAATAATATTCTTATTTTTTCCTACACCGCGATGACCATAACGCAACGTTGCCAAAGAATATTAGTGGAATTTTTCGTAAAGCACTTAACCACGATCAATTATGGCGTGGGCGTCGCCATGCTCACTCATAAACACTGTATAAATCAATCGCGGCCCTTAAGGGTTTGATTTGATTTATTATGATCTAAATGCCCGTATCGCAGTTAAAACCCGGCTTGTTGAACTTCCGACGCTGTCACTGACAAATTACAGGCTCGCCTCGGCTCGCTAATTGACTGCATGTCAAAAACCGCCACACCGCAAATACACGGATGTTGTCCCTTTTTAGTGGCACTTCCTTCAAAAACTCTTTGTGAAAAAGACACGACCTTGTTTTTGTGATTACGATTATGGTAATAAAATTGCTGTGAGGATTTTCCTTCCAATCTTATTGAGATTAATATGAGCATCAAATATTTAGCTTGTAACATTTGATGACAATATTGCGTCCTGTTGATACATATTATAAGAATTATTATTTATCTTTTTTTTGGTAGGTACTTGTTATGTATCTATTAGGTAGATACTTATGGTATCTTAAAACAAGAATTAAGTTAATAAAATTTGCAAAATACGTTATGTATTTTTACGAGTTGTATGTTTTATCTAGACCATAAGTTCCCAAAGAGGGGGGGGCGCCCCCCAGGGGAGGTGCAAGGACCTTTTAAGAGGGCGCGGACCATCTGTGTATTTAAGTATAAAAAACCTGCGACCGCTCAGAGAATGCATTCCAGACTGCTCGATACGACCAATAAACAATTTTGACTGGAGGAGGTGGGCGCGGAATTTTTGTATGGTCGAAAGGGGGCACGTCTCAAATAAGTTTGGGAACCAATGATCTAGACTGATATTTATTTATCTTAAAACTACCGTTTTACTAATAAATATACTTGGTCTATTAGGCTGGGTTGCACCATCTAACTATGACTTTAACAAACGACAAAAATCAGTCAACCTCCATATAAAATACACCGGTTATCGTTATAGTTACGGTCAAAGTTAGGTGGTGCAACTCAGCCTTATTCTTTTTCATTTACTATGCATACCCGAGTATTTTATAAGCATTCGAATCCTGCTTCAATATCTTGTAAAATGTTAATTATAATAATTTTAAAATCACAATATTATTATAAGCAATAACACGAGAATCATCCCAGGCCGGGTTTTACTGAAATAATAATCTTACATAACCGAGTACTAGGAATATTATTATTTTATATTTAAATGTTAAGTTACGTAAATAGCGAATCCTATTGCGAGTAAATGGGCTGAAATAACCGTGATATTTTTGAACAGACTCAACTTTTTCCTCCACGTGACTAACTTGTTTGTTTCACAAAAATAAGCAATGTTCGATGTGTTGCTTGAAAGAGTGTAAAAAAAACATTAGCATTGTTAAATCACAATTAACTGACTGTCAAAGCTACAAAAATCGAATTTTGCAGCAAATTAAAAACTACTCAATTTTCAGGGCAAGAATTGTATTTTTATGAAAATGCACCAATTTTTCTGACTAACAAAATACTGACACAGAGTACAAATATTATTCTCAACTTGATTACTAGAGTGGTCAGTGCATTGTTAGTCACAAACACACATCACATTTTTATTTTCGAGCTCTTTGACACTAACGGACGTGTGAATATTACGTCACGGTTCCACAGAAGTCTTGTTTAGTTTTTCAAATGGCCCGGACGTTGTCATCTTTGCCGGGAACTAGTCATTTGCAGTAAAACCACTCGCTCTGTAATTTGCTGGAAGTACAGCAACCCGGAATTACGTACCTCCAGACGAAAAACGCAAACGAATGTACGCTTTTTCGGCTCATACCGTACCGTTAGGTAAACTTAAAGTAAAATAAGTAGACGAGGATAGGAAAGGTGTACAGCGGTCGGGTAGCCTAAATTAAAAACTGTGAGATAGATTTTCGTATAAAATGTAAGATAGATAGTGTCATGGAAGAGACGCGAATTACTATCGCGTCTCTTCCATCAGAATTACATTTTTACAATTACATCCAACATATTAGTCCTTATTAGAATCGATCCGCACAAATATGTTTTAGTTAGCTTTTTTGCAGATTTATGTAAAATTCAATTAAAAACATTTTTAAATCTCCGGTAAAGTATTTCTGTCCCATCTCAAAAATCTACACTAAATACAATCCTAGCGAAATACGTTTAAATAAAAAGGATGAAAAATTAAAGGCGTAAAAGATAAAGTTGTAAAATATTAGAAAAATATTTGTGTGTGCCGAACACGTTCAAGCCATGTTGTACCGGTGAACACTCTAAGAATCCATTACACCTTTTCATTATAGTATCAATAGGAAATAAGAGTTCGTGTAAATAGAGTTATGAAAAGCTCGCTCAAAAGCTTTTCTCGCCGGTGAGTAGCAAAACATAATTTTCCTACTATTTGGTATAACTTAGAATAAAATCTTCAGATAGTGCTGTATTATAATCAAAATCTACATACAACCTGAGATTCTATCGAATTTGTAATTTTAAAAATTGATAAGAAATCGGTATCGAAGAAACATGGTACTACTCTGTAGCATGTTGGACTCGCAACACTTTGAAATATAAAGCACTTTTATGGAAATATGATTTATTAGACATTATTTAAGAATGTTTTTTTCTCAACTATGACTAAGGCTGCGTACAACCTTGATACCGTATCGGAATAGAATCATAACAACCCCGAAAATAGACGCGGCGGGCTCTACCTTCTACTTTTATAACTTTGTTTATATAAATATTAATATACCAAATATGAGTAACTTAAAATATAATAATCATGTATACTCACGTGTCGTAGCATCGGTGGAACCGGCTAGCAGCCAATCCAAAACAAGTATTGCTAACAATATTTTACCGCTATTAAGCAAACTTAACTGATGTTGAGAATACATTTTAGGTTTTTCTAAGTACTTCAATATTTAATTTTCAAGCAGAAAGCTTCTTTACATTTTTTATACTAACTTTACGACCCCACGTTGGGCGCCATTCGAATATTTTACGTATTAAGACATTCCATGAAAAGAAACACCGAAGTCTTTTCGTTGAAAAGTCAAAATTATGTTAAACAGAACAACACACGACAAATCCCCTTCGAATTGCATTCGACACACGCAAAAATGCGATTAAGGTATCGTTAGATTCGATAACGTGAATGATACTTTTCGATGTCCCGTGAAAAGTTTGTTCGCCGGCGTTCGTCGGTATAGTCGCACGACCGTCCCGCGCGGCGGCCCGCAGATGACTGCTGCAAGCGGCATGCATCGCCTCGGAAAGGACCACCCCTTCGCTGCTTTCGTCCCTGTCCCACAAGGCGGCACGCGTACAATTCATAAAACAACCCCTATAACCTTCTGATTCTGACATTTTCTTTCATAGTATTACGGTAATAATGACGTCTTTATTGGCATGCGGCCAAATAAAGGCAGATGATATCTAAATACTTTTAATGTCAAATGCAGCGTGTGCAAGAGTAATTAGCTTCATTAGTAGTAGAAGAATATAATTATGTAGTACAAGCTTTTGTGAAAACTTTATTTATGTTATTAGTCATCATAAATTATTTATTACTTCGTTTCTGGGGCTTTTCATGCCTATCTTTCGGAAACAATGAATAAAATTAGCCAAAAAAATGTCTAGAAAACTGTGTAACTTTTTATTGGGAAAAAATCCTGTTCGGATGAAATGTATCAAAGATATCCTCTTCAAATATAACAAAAACAGACACAAATATTATACTTAAAATTAAAGTTTAACGAGACAAACCCGAAATAACAGACACGCGTTGTCAATTTTGCGGTATCAAATTGAATTAGCACCTTGAACACCCAAAGTTCTATAAACTAAGAGCAAAGACTGCGAACTCAGTGAATAGTGGGAAGGAAATTATTGCGCTTCGAGAAACTTCCAAAGGTTTCACTGGCCAGTAATGAAACTAATACTAACAAGTGAAACACCAAGCCACGTAATTTGAGGAGGACTTATCTGTTACTGACCATAACTAATATGTCAACTGTGGCTAAATAAATTTGGTAGGAATCATACCGGTAACCACAACATCGGGAAGCCGCATAACTGCTTTACAGTGTTCATTGATTTTTCGACCATTTCTATCGACTGATACTCGGAACCAAGTGACTCCTGGGACGGTTACTTTGATGCCATTAGGTATACCAAGAACTATGGGACAACCTTGGAGATAATGGTGAACCATGCCAATGCACATGAAGCGACGATTTTCCAATATTATAGAATACTTGGAATTTTGCGCTGGCCACAAAATCAATACCTATCAATGTGGTTTACATTTTGGTAATAAAAAACTGAATTCGTATTTTGATTTTTGGTTTCGATAAAATTGAGTGAGTACCTACCTATCTAGTATGTTCATAAAAAGTTGTTTTCGAAGTTGGGTCTGCATGGGGAACCACAAACAGTTTTATATTGTTGATTTACGCATTCATTTTTACTCATATCACGTGAGGGAGAAGCTGACTTTATGATTTCCTTGAAACAACAAATTTTATGACGGGCGTCGATCCTAGTATTTTGGGTATTGGACTACCACCCCGTTGCGCTCAACTCCTGCTGGAGCTCTTACAAATCCTGATGGATCCATAAGCATTACTTTATTCATTACCTAAGTTTTCCCTAATGTATTATCAGTTTTTAAATTATGAGATCTATCTACTAGTACAAACAAATCATTGCATTGTTTTACTAGCCTAAATGCTACCAAATTAAATTATCTGCCATTAATGTTGTTCCCCGACTAAATTCTTTCGAAGGGTAATTTTTACTGCTCACAAGCCTTATGGCGGTCATAAAATGCAAAGTTTAATTTAAATGAAATTAAACGGCATTTATAAATTCCACCGAGGAGTCATTGAATTCTAAAAATCCACTTATAATTTATTTTGTTTCCCAGTAATAATAATGTCCGGCAAGTTGGCGCCATAGAATTGAGTTCCGCGAACGGCGGGGTATTTCCTTGCAACTCCCCTGGCCGCCTGGCGGCCTTAAAGCTACCATTAATATTTATACACACACGTTACTAGTTCACCTTCTTTTATGCGTCTGGTAGCGCCGACGAAGTATAGCCCCTTTGCAAAACTTTTAGACACGCGGAGAGCCCGCTAGACCCAGCTAATCAGCGGAAACCTGAATACTACATCATATGGATGTGAGATAATGATGGTTAGATATAGCCTTATGAATATAACGATATGATTTAGTTTTCTTCACATTGGTCTCCATTTCATGAGTCGGAATCGAACCCAATACTTCTGAGTCTAGACAGTCTCTTTAACTACTGGACAACCAAGACATTGCTTGAAACAAACAATTGAACGATGTAGGACGTAGGTACGTTAAAATCCAAACGTTTTCGTCAAACGATACCTACTGTGTGCTTACCATGAGTTTACGTTAGGTGTGCTCGCTAGCGACTGAGTAAAAAAATGACATTAATTGTATGACATATTGTGCAGCGCCCCTAACGGCTACTTTCAAGAAACAAAATCTTCATAGATATTTTTAACGTACTCGCTAGCGAGCACACCTAACGTAAACTCATGGTAGGTACACTGATATTTTTACTGCAACTCGGTTTAAACACTTTTGTAAAGTGATGAACTCAACGATGCCATGTGTGATTGTTACATTCAAAAAGCAAATCAGTTTAACCCTGCATGATAGAATAGTTTAAATTTAACCCCTCAATTGATCTGAATATTTAACGTGCCAGTAAAATCGTCGAATTTGCGGTTATTAAAAGTTTGAAAGGCCGAACTCATGATGTTACTCGTATTTTCATCCGCGCCTGCCGTGATGGAAATAAATACTGGTTTATTTCAAATCTAACTACACAGACCGCTTTTGTTCGTTTTTAATAGGCGCGGTTGTGACCATTTTTGTGGTCGAGCAAAATCACGCCGTACATGTCCATGAACGTACCGCAAATGTTTTATAATAAATCACATAATTCATTCCGCTAACAATATTCATACATAGGTAAATAAAATAGCATTGGACATTATACACGGTTACGGTCTAGTCCAATTCTAAAATCCTAATCGGTTACCTACGTTAGACATTTACCCCAATTTTCATGAAAAACTCGTAAGTAGCTTCGTTCTTAATAGGCTAAAATAAACACCAAACATTTTAATTTCGTTTAAGAATTACAGTCAGCATAAGTATTATGTATATTACTTACTATTTAAAAACGATACCTACCTACATATACTTAGAATACCTAATAAATACAATAAACTGATTATACTAAGGTAGAACTCGTATTTAACCTAGCTACTTGACATTGTAATAAGAAAACAGATCAATATTAAGTTACGAGAATATTATAATGAAATAAAATTAATATTCTAATAATTTTAAATCCTTTTCCAACAGCATTTTCCTTTCTTCTGTGTAAAATATTTACGCAATATTTGTTTTCCTGAAATTCGTCCTGTATTTATTCCGCCTTAGAAGAAAAGCGTCTTAGGTATATTATTATGTATTGTATACAGAGTGTAAGTAGGGTAAACCACCCAATCATTGGCACTCTACCAATTTATTGGCATGCTCCAGTTTTTTAAGAAAATTAAGGTTTTTTGTAACCAAACCTTATATTTTTTAGTAGAAATTGTACAGTAATATCATAAATTACTCAACTGGCTACACACGTTTTTTATTTTTTCAAACATCGCGGCGCATCAACCATTTGTTTGACAAACCGCGACCTGTGCGAAAAAAACAATCGAAATATTCGTTTTTTACTAAGGTAAGAGCCATCATAATCTTTTAAAAAAATGCAAATCTATTTTGTTGTCCCTATACATAATCATTTTGTCTTATTATTGAATATATTAACTGCCTTTTTAAAACATTATTTTATAATTTAACCGCCAACTTTTAATTATTTGTGGGGTGCCAACATTTGGTATGCGTAAAATCTGTTTATCCATTTTATTGGCACACATGCCAATAAAAGGGTATTTAAAATAATTTTAGTTTATTAAAAATTATACCTTGTTTGTCTCAAAATTTAGTTTAAATTGCATTTAAAATATTTTTTAAGGTTTTGGATACACCAATCCAAATGTTGGCCCACTGCCAATTATATAAAATCCATTTATTGGCACGGGTGTCAAACATTGGTTAAAAAGGTGCCAATAAAAAATATTATCTTTTCAGCCACTTTCAAAGCCTTTCAAAGTCTTATTCCACTAATCCCCGTTGACAATCCCCGTCAACGGGGATTAGTGAACTTTTTGTTCATTAATTCCCGTTAACGCCAATGGAGTTTACGATGGGGATTAATGAACTAAAAAGTTAATTAATCCCCAGTACGTTAAAAATAAAATACTCACGTAAGAATCAGGTACCTTCTATTTATTACTAGATAAGAACTCACTTATTATTTTTATTATCAAATTAAATTAAATTTAAGACTGATTACAATACTTAAAAAAAATAACACTTACCTGATTAACCAAAAGCACTATGGATATTGAATCGTTAGTCCCCATTCATCATTTAAAAGAAGATGGAGACGAATATGTCTGTCTGTCTGTCTGTCTGTATGTTCCTTATAGAAACAAAAACTACTCGACGGATTTTAACGAAACTTGGTACAATTATTCTTCATACTCCTGGGCAGGTTATAGGATACTTAAGAATTCCCACGGGAACGGGCATTAGCGGGAAAATCCTTTTGTATGAAAAATCTAAACCGCTTAAGTTAGACGCTTGAAATTTGGCAAGCAGGTACCTTAGTAAACTTAAAGCTTAGTTATAACAGGATATTGCAAAATTCCTACGGGAACGGGAATTAGCGAGAAAAAACATTTGTATGAAAAAATCTAAGCCACGTAAGATAGACGCTTGAAATTTGGCATGCAGGTACCTTAGTAAAATTAAAGCTTAGTTACAACAGAATATTGCAAAATTCTCACGGCGCGGGAACGGGAGTTAGCGGGAAAAAACATTTGTATGAAAAAATCTAAACCGCGTAAGTTAGACGCTTAAAATTTGGCATGCAGGTCCCTTAGTAAACTTGAAGCTTAGTTACAACAGGATATTGCGAAATTCCAACGGGAACGGGAGTTAGCGGGAAAAAACATTTGTATGTAAAAATCTAAACCGCGTAAGATAGATGAAGGGGGTAAAACGGGATCCACGCGTACGAAGTCGCGGGCGGCCGCTAGTATTGAATAAA